TTTAAAAGTTATGAGTGAGGCGTGATTTATTGAGTGCTAGATGGTTGGGAAGTTTTCTTGTGCATGGGTGGAATTGTTGTGAGTGGGCCTGAGTTTGCTGTAAGTGTTTAAAAAAAAATTCCAGCGTGAATTATGGGAAAACCGAGCAATAGGGGAACCGCTGCTCACGCTGGGGGAAGAACTAGTCGTGACGGACTAGCAGTTGTCGGCCTTGTCAACGCCGCCTTGGATAACGGGGCTGCACTTAGTACCTCTGGCTCCATACAGGGCAGGCCAACATCCTCAATGATGGACTCCGATCGGGCGGTCATTTCTGAGTTAATTGATGCCCAATGGGAGTCTATTGTCCACCTCGTCATTTTCGCCCGCAACAATGCTCCTTTGTCCGGTAAGCGTAGGCCTTATGAATGGATGTATGATAGCGGTGCTTCACATCATATGACAGGCTACTTGGAATTTTTTTCTGATATCCGGGATATTCCACCCCGGTCTGTGCAGTTACCTAATGGCACGCTCACCACTGCGTGCAAAGTTGGAACTATTCATCTTGTTTCTCGTATTATTTTATATGATGTTTTGTTCGTTGACAGTCTTCAGTGCAGCTTGATATCTTTATCCGGTTATTGGAACAATCTGGTTGTGTCGCTACCTTCACAAATAAATATTGTACTATTCAGGACCTCACTTCGAGGGTGGTGATTGGAGCGGGTTAGCAATTGGGAGGACTCTATTTTTTTCGAGGGGCAATCACTGCCAATGCTTCTCGGGTATCTTCGGTTATGCAAGATTTGTGACTCCAGCGGATGGGTCGTCATCCATCTTCTACTGTTCTTGGTCAATTGCCTTTTGTCGAATCTCCTTCCTTGGTCTCGAATAAAGCTTGTGATGTTTGCTGTCGGGCAAAGCAATCTCGTGCTAGCTTTCCTCTTAGTCGTAGTATTAGCAGTTCCATTTTCAGTTTGATTCATTGTGATGTGTGGGGACCTTATAGAGTTCCTGCCTTTAGTGGTGCTCGATACTTTTTTACTATTGTTGACGACTATTCTCGAGGTACTTGGATTTTCTTATTGGATGACAAATCTTTGGTGTCTTCTACTCTACTGCAATTTTTTGCTTTTGTAAAAAGGCAATTTGGTGTGTTGGTTAAAACTCTTCGCAGTGACAATTGGACTGAATTTACTCGTATGCGCGATTATTTCCGTCAATATGGAATTGTTCATGAAACTTCTTGTGTTGGAATTTCTTAACAAAATGGACGTGCTGAGCGCAAACATTAGCACATTCTTAATGTTGCTCGAGCATACGCTTTCAGGCCCATTTACCGATGAGTTTTGGGGACATTGTATACTTGCTGCTGGCTATTTGATTAATCGAACGCCTACTCATCTTTTATCCGAAAAGACTCCCTATGAACTTTTGTATGGCAAACGTCCCAGCTATGCGCATTTACGTGTTTTTGGTTGTCTGTGTTACGTGCACAATCAGAACAGGGATAGTGACAAGTTTGGAAGTCGGAGTCGCCGATGTGTTTTTGTTGGCTATTCATCTGGCCAAAAGGGGTGGTATGCTTATAATTTGGACAGCCGCACTTTTCTGGTCTCACATGATGTGAAATTCTGTGAATCAGAGTTCCCTTATTTGACGTCTCCTGCTCTTGATATTACCTCCGTACCCTTGGTTCTATGGCCTGCTGTTTCTGACGACGATGATGATCTGGTGGTTCCCACTACAACGCGTACTGCTGCCACTGGGGGTTCTGAGGTCATTGTCGATAGGGGGGTAATCCTTCCCAAGAGGAAGTGTTGGGTCGTGGTCATCGTCTCAAGAGACCATCTTCTCGTCTTGTCGACTTTGTCTCTCATACTATTTGTTTCTCGTCCCCCCACTTTGCCTCCCCCATCGCGTCATCTCAAGAGACCCTCTCGCACACTATGTTTCTTGTGATTCATTTTTACCTGCACATCAGTCATTTCTGGCAGCCATTTCTTCTGTCGTTGAGCCTCGGTTCTTTTCTGAGGCTGTTCGAGATAGTCGCTGGCATTCGGCTATGCAACTGGAGATTCGAGCATTGGAATCGAACCGTACGTGGGATATTGTTTCTCTTCCTACTGGAAAACACGCGACTAGTTGCAAGTGGATTTATAAGATTAAATATAACTCTGATGGTTCTGTTGAGCGCTACAAGGCGTGTTTGGTTGTCTTGGGTAACCGACAGGTGGAGGGCATTGACTATCAGGAGACATTTGCACCTGTTGCCAAGATGGTTATTGTACGGACTTTTCTTGCTATTGCAGCTGCTCGACAATGGGAGGTTCATCAGATGGACGTGCACAATGCGCTCTTGCATGGAGATCTATCTGAGGAGGCCTACAAGAAACTTCCTCCTGGTTTTCGTTCATCTGATTCTGGTAAGGTGTGTCGACTACGCCGATCTCTGTATGGTTTAAAGCAAGCTCCTCATTGTTGGTTTGCAAAGCTTGCTATTGCTCTTAAAAACATTATGGTTTTGAGCAGTCTTATTCTGATTATTCCCTTTCTACACTACATCAAGATTCGATGTACTTGCATGTCCTGGTTTATGTTGATGATCTCATCATTTCTGGAAGCGATCCGGCTGCTATTACTGCCTTTAAGGAGTACTTAGGTCGTTGTTTTCATATGAAGGATTTGCGAGTCCTGAAATATTTTTTGAGCATTGAGGTTGCTCGGAATTCCTCTGGCTTATTTCTGTGTCAGCAGAAATACACTCTTGACATAGTTGCCGAAGCTGGTTTGCTTGGTGGCAAGCCTGCTGATTTTCCTATGGAGCATAATCACCAGCTTCCATTGGATGATGGTCCGTTGTCCTCTGATCCTGAGCGATATCGACGGCTAGTGGGTCGTTTGATTTATTTAGTTGTCACTCGTCCCGACTTGTCTTATGCTGTGCACATGCTCTCTCAGTTTATACATCAGCCTCGTCAGGCATATTGGGGTGCTGCCACTCGTGTGGTACGTTATTTGAAGGGTACTCCTAGCCACGGTATTCTTCTTCGGTCTGATTGTGACTTACATGTCTATAGTTGGTGTGACTCCGATTGGGCAACATGCCCTACTACTCGACGGTCTCTCACTGGTTGGTTCATCCAACTTGGCCATTCTCCAATATCATGGCGTACTAAAAAGCAGCACACGGTTGCTCGCTCTTCTGTCGAGGCTGAGTATCGTGCTATGGCGACACTTACTTGCGAGTTGAAATGGTTACGGGGTTTACTTCGCTGTCTTGGTCTAGCTCATTCTCAGCCGATGCGGATTCATTGTGACAGTCAAGCGGCGCTAAATATTGCCGCTAATCCTGTCTTTCATGAGCGCACCAAGCACATTGAAGTTGACTGCCATTTTCTTCGTGATGCTCTCGTTCAAGGTCTCATTTCTACCTCTCATGTTTCCACTCATTCTCAATTGGCAGACATCTTCACCAAGGTCTTGGGAAAACGCGAGTTTGATTTTTTTCTTGGCAAGTTGGGCATCCGGAATCCGCATGCTCCAACTTGAGGGGGGGGGTTAGAGTGATTTTGTGAATATTGTATTTTTTGGTATAAATAGATTTTGGTGTCTTAGAGACTCAGTATATATTATTTTAGGGTTTCTCTTGTATCTATATATTAGGGCTCTGGTAAATTTACATGAAAAGAGTTTTTTGTGTAAATGAATTGGTTTTCACATATTTGACAAAGTTACAAGTTAAAAGAGACGTCGTAAGCATTGCTCATGGTTTTAACCTATGGCCATTTTGGGCCGTACTCTCATCGGCCCGTTTGACAATGCTAGAGCACACATTCCTCAATGTTCTACAACATTCTTTTCGTCGCCTAATCTAATTGGCGAAAATACAAAACTGAACAGCTTAAACAAAAATATTACATAAAAGAGACAGGTGAGAGAGCATTCCAAAAATGTCTGAATTCTTTTCAATCGTGGATGTGATGGAACCGTTTCAATTCTCACTCTCTCTCCATTATCCTTTTTGTATTATAGAATAACTATTATATTTTCATTATCTTTCTCTCCATTACCCGTGTAAATACCAAGTTTTATTTATTTAACCAATTATACATTTTATTTATAGAGATTAAAATATCAAATAATTTATATACATAACTATTTATTGATCAATTGGATAATTTATATTGAAACATCACAATTAAATTAGCTAAAAAATAACACAAAAGATTTGTTATTGTAACTAAAAAATTAATAATACAATTTATAGATCATAACAAATTAGATATTGTACCAACAACATAACAATGTAACAGCCACATACAAATAATTTACTATTACATATAAAATAATTTCTATTAACAATAAAAAAAAATAGAACGTAGGTTTTTATAACAAATTTATGAAATATTGAAAGCTAAAACAACAAAAAATGAACATAACAATAGTCCCCATAACAATAATCACCCTAACAAGAAATCAACACAACAATAACCAAAAAAAAAATTACCATCCAATAATCACCCATAACAAGAAAGCNTAATTAAAAAAAAAAAACACACAACATCCCCGGTATCTGTTCGCTGGTTGTCGCCACTCAGAAAAAGGGCCGCACACTTAGATTGGGGCAGTTAATCCGGCATCGATCTGTCGTCGCCGATCTGCACAATCCGCCAACCATCACCTTCGATTATCACGGGATGTTGTATGAACTGCCAATTCGCGGTTTGTCGGCAAGCCATTCGCCGCTCACGAGCAGAGTCTGACAGTTACCGCCGTCACAAGCGCAACCTGTCCTTTTTTATTATAGATAGTTCTGAGGGCGGCGAGAAGAAATGAATTGGGAATTTTGGAGGAAGAGTATTTTATGTGAGTATGTTTAAGGGTAATAAATCGAAGCAACAACTGAGAAATAATCAGGGTTTTATGGTCTGCACGTTTGAGAAGAACGAAGGAAAAAGATTGAGGAAAGAAAAAAATAAAGAAGTTTCACGAGAAAAATTGAGAGAAAATGTGAGAGAGAGAAAAAAAAAGGAAAAAGAAAAGGAAAAAAGGAAAAAGAAAAATGAATATATAACTGCTTACTTATCTCAGTCGGTTATGAAAATAAAAAGAGTGGGCTAAGTATGGAATAATTATAGCGCTATTACAGTATAATAAATAAATTTTTAGAAAGGATAAGCAGTGTCCTTTATTCTAATCTAATTTCACTGTTGCCCTCAGTCGGTTATGAAAATAAAAAGAGTGGGCTAAGTATGGAATAATTATAGCGCTATTACAGTATAATAAATAAATTTTTAGAAAGGATAAGCAGTGTCCTTTATTCTAATCTAATTTCACTGTTGCCCGACTTTTTCTCACCTTTTTAATTGTTCGTGGGCTATAACAAAGCTATCTAGCATTGGAAATTAATTCGCCGAAAACTAGAGGTAAAACGAAAATGATCGTGCACTTAATATTCTCATCCTTTAAAATGTTTTTTTAATGGTTGATGTAAGATGAAACCTATGTACCTCTGCCATTTTTTTTATAATTTTTAGTTCCCCAGCACCGCCAACCTATATTAAAAAATACAATCAAATCAACCAGATGTCATGTATCATTCCTTCATTTATTATTAGGTAAAATTTATGAGGTAAAATTTAAGAAATTTATTTAGTGGATTGCTAACAATTATATATTATTATTATTATTATTTTAAGAAATTTATTTTAATGAATTGCTCACAATTATATATTATTATTATTATTATTATTATTATTATTATTATTATTATTATTGCCTAGTGTTTTATTTTTTCACTTTGAATATGAATAAATGTGAATAGTTCTTTTGCCAGGCGAGAAACATTGCGTGAGTGAATAGTCCATTCATAACCTCGATATATAAATTGCGGCTTCTGCCAATTTTTCCAAAGACTCTCACCTCATACTAATCTAAGATCACAACAACTCTCCGCATTCATTATTTTCCCGACCCTTTTAATCCGAATCCCAAAAAATGGAATTACCTGAAATTGCTCTAACTTTCAAAGTGACCCGGCAAGACCCGGAGTTTATCCCACCAGCAGAGCCCACACCCCACGACTTCAAATCCCTTTCGGACATCGACGATCAACCGGGCCTCCGTTTCCATGTACCTATCATACAATTCTACCGAAAAAACCCATCCATGGAAGGAAAAGACCCGGTTGGGATTATTCGGACAGCTGTCTCAAGGGCGTTGGTTTACTATTACCCATTGGCCGGGCGGCTGAGGGAAATCTCGGACAGGAAGAAGCTGGTGGTGGAGTGCACGGGCGAGGGAATTTTGTTTGTCGAGGCTGATGCTGACGTGGCACTGCGGGAGTTTGGAGACTGCCCTCACCCGCCGTTCCCTTGCTTCGAGGAGCTGCTTTATGATGTTCCGGGCTCAGGCGACATTACAAATTCTCCATTGATACTAATTCAGGCTTGAACTTTGTAACTCCGCATTTTTTTTTTTCAGTAAAATTGGGGATAAATGTAAACACAACATTAATTGGTAACATTTTTGTTTACAATAAATTATTCAGAACCCTAGTTTATATAGGGTTATTTCAGACATTGGACTTGTAAATTTGTGATTTTTTAATCATTCATAGTCTTTTATAGATATAGGTTGGGGATCTGGCCTAACCTCCACCCTCGTGTTTTTCTTGAAAAAAAAATAATAATAATAATAAATAAATAAATTAATAATTTATTTTAAAAATAAAAACAAAAGGATATAGAAAAATATTACTTACAGAACTATTAAGATTTTTAACCGTAGATTATCTATCTAGACTAATCTACATGGTATATATACGATAAAAAACCCCGACGGTATGATTCTGTAACGAAACTGTAGTCATTCTCAGAGTATATATATATATATAAACTTTGATTGGGTACTTCAATTTAATAAACTTCACATAATTATTGTATTTTTTTTTTTAAATTAGTTTTCATTTATGAACTTCCCCTTGATTTTAATCGGTAGGTCACTCGCCTAAAATGTGGTGGGTTTATCATCGGATGGCGCGTCAACCATGTCATGGGTGATGGCGCGGGTCTCGTCCAGCTTATGTCTGCCGTGGGTGAGATTTCCCGTGGGGCCCACGCACCGTCCATCTTACCAGTCTGGGAACGACACCTCCTCGATGCGTGGGGCCCACTGAAGTCTCGCGAATATGACCCAGATGCCGAGGGGGATCCCATCCCCCTCGACAACAACCCCGTGCAACGCTGCTTCTTCTTCGGGTCAGCCGAGATCTCCGCCCTCCGCCGCCAACTCCCAAGCCACTACTCCACATTCGACGTCGTCACGGGCTGCCTCTGGCGATGCCGCACGGCGGCCATCTCAACCGGGCCCCACCAAGTGTTTCGGGTCAACTGCATTGTTGACTGCCGGAAGAGGTTCGACCCGCCTCTCCCCGGTGGCTACTACGGCAACGTCGTGGTGGGCCCGCCAGCAGTATCGGCCGCTGGGGAATTATGCGGTTCGTCGCTGGAATACGCGGTGGAGCTCGTGAGGAGGGCCAAATTGGAGGCGACTGAGGAGTACGTGAGGGTGATTGCGACAAGGGGCCGAGTTGATGATTTCCCGAGGGTAATTAGGAATTTTGTCGTTTCCGATTTGACTAGCATGGGCATCGAGAAAGTGGATTATGGATGGGGCGAGCCCGTGTACGGCGGTAATCCGGTACCCATGACCGTGTTCGCTTCTGCAGTGAGTTCTTACACCGTGTCGCGTAATAGTAAGGGTGAAAGCGGAATATTGGTTCCCATGTCTTTACCGGCTAATGCCATGGAAGTATTTGCTAAGGAGGTCCGGGTGATGGTGAAAGGGGATAATCAATTACCAACAACCATACGCACGGAGAGGGCTCCTACTCAAGATAACATGCTTTATATTAAGTCCGGATTGTGAAAGTTTAATTTGCACATTAATTATGCCACTTGAAATCTTGCGTACACGTACTCTCGTAATTTCTAGGGGAGTAGGGTGATATTACAATAATAACCAAAATATTATAAGGATGAGAATAATAGTACTTATATTAAGCCCTAATTGGTGTCATCTACTACTTTCTTACGTTTGGATGTTACTAACTAATGGGGGGAAAAAAAGTCATAAAGTTCAGTGTATCTCGAGTTAACTTGATTTCCAATTTATAAATTAATTTTGATTTATTAAATCCCATTCATTAATAATATTTCATATATCTTATTCATTAAATTTTGTTTGTTAAATTGTTGAAGTCAAATTGAAGTGCATTTGGGGGAGAAACAATGGTGTTGCTGCCATCTGGAGAAAAAGAAGACGCTATGGCTAGGAGGAGAAAGAATGAGAAAAAAAAAAATCTCGTTAATTTTTTNCGATTTAGGTGGGGAAGAAGAAAAAAAATAAGGGAGGATAATCCTCTCTGATACCATGTCCAGAGAATTAATCATATGAAACCGATTCATCTAACTGAATGATCACACTACAAAAAAAAATGTTATATTCCAAATGATCACACTACAAAAAAAATTGTTATATTCCAATGGATAATCCTACGATAATATATTCCAACGTAAATTGCAACAGATATTCCAATAGTATAACTTTCGTTGGAATAATTCCAACGGAAATTCCAGGAAAAATATTACCTTGGAATGACTTTTCCAATTGAAATTTTATATGGAATTTGATGATTCCAACGACTATTTTTTTAACGGTTTTTTACCGTTGGAATATGCAATTTTTACATCCGTTGAAAAATCTACCGTTGAAATCGTCAAAATCCAACAGAAATTCCACTGGAAAACTTATTCTAGCGGAATATTTCAAAATCCAACAGAAATTCCACTAGAAAACTTATTCTAGCGGAATATTTTTGTTGGAATTTCCGTTAGAATTCCTTTAAAATATATTTGTATTGGAATTATTGTAGTGTCAGTGATGCACAAGGCCTTATATATATACACAAAACGGTATCACGAATACATTGAAGGAAAATCACCAAGATACTAAAAATCTAATAATTCCTATCTCTCACAAATCTCTGACCAAAATGCAATATATACAAAATCGCACAAAATCACACTAACAACCGGATAGGAGCATCGACAAATTTAGCAGTGTCAGGATAAGAAAACCGATAAACTTTAAGTAGAGAAATAATTGTTCGCCTACTTTTACCGGAATTAGCTCTGCTAGTTATATGGCTAAAGTAACCAACGCCTATATTATATACAGTTTAAACTAGTGCGTGGCCCGTGCGATGCACGGAAAAATAATATTACGATTGTATTATAAATTAAATATATAAATAACATTAATCATAATTTATCTTTTATTTTTAAATTAAACCGGGTTGCACACAGTCCGACCGGATGGATCAGGAACCGGTTTATAACCAGTCTAGTTCGTTTGAATAAAATATTTGCTCTGGAATCCGTCAACACCAGTCGGTTGGACTGGTAGGATCAATACGATTTTCTAAATAAATTTTGTTGTATTTAAAATTATTTTAAATAAAATTACATATTTAAATAAAATAGAGATTTATATATTATTTATCAATTAGTTTAAACATTAAGTTATAAATTGTTTAGATATCTAAGTAACACGTTTTATTTAAATTTATTACAAAAGTACTATATATTTATATATATATATATTAAAATGTTTATAAATTAAAATCTGAACAAATCACAAATGATTTAATAAAATAGCTTGATCGTTTCGATGACGGTCCAGTTCTGAAAATCTTATATTTACTGTACATTAATAAAAATTATAATAAAATATTATTTAATTCACATAAACATTAACAAAATGATATATAAATATTCATAAATCATTAAACATGTTGTCATAAAAGTATTGTTAATACGATTAATTGAAGTTTGGACTACATCACATTCACGTAATAACATATTTTCAATATAAAACTTATATTTAGGTTCAATAATCGATTTGATATGGTCGAACTGATACATAACTTAGTCACCTGGGACCAACCAAATTGTGTCAAATTTTTTGACTATTTTAATTATCACCGAAAAGTAATTCAATCAACCTGGGCAGTACCCTAATTCAATCACCCGATTGATCCGAAGAAATTTTCTTATTTTCTTTAAATATATTTAATTTTATGAAATAAAAATATTTTATGACATATAATAAATGTCTACACCAAATGATAGTATATTAAGATTATATATTATATATCTAAAGATGAATTAATTATTTTTACTTTATGCATATTAATTAAAAATAAACATAGTAATTTTAAAAAAATTAAGATTAATTGATTGATTATGCAATTTAAATAATATTTTTTGCGTTCAATATGTTTTTTTAACGGCACAAATATAAAACCGAGATTCTAAAACTTTTGTTATATTTTGAATTGAGATTTTATAAATATAGAGACCGAGATTTTAATGTTGTTCGTTGTTTCTAAGAAAAAAAAATAAAAATAAAAACATACACATTTAATAAATCTTAACCGGATTTTTTAAATAATAAAATAAACTAAAACCCGAAATTTAAGGTAACATTTAATGTTGTATGATTTTTAAAGAAAGAAAAATAAGAAAAGTAATAAAACTTATTATATATAGGCTGCATTAAATTCTGACTTATTTTTTTTTACTAGTTTTGATAAATGTTAATTCTTATTATATATATATAGATTAGTAGCCAATAAATAATTACATGCATTTATATCAATTGGCGGCATATATATTTCAACAAGTTATTAGGAAAACACTTCACAGTTAATTGTGTCCATATATTTCCAAGTCCGCAGAGCTGCCTGATTTGGCTAGCTATCGCTCTATGCTTGAAAGTTCAACGTGACTACTTATTTTCACTACAACAAAAAGATTCGCTTTGCTTCATGCCATTAAATCCCTACCAACTCAAAATCATTAGCTTGATATCAATTACAGAAACAAACTCAGCATCAGTCAAATCAGAAACCTTGGAACAACAACATCCAATTCCAAAATTAAGCCCATAAACCAATCTCATTTAACCATAACAAGCCAGCATATCTCAAAAACAAAAAAATCAATAAAGTTGCATGAATCACAATATAAAACCCAAATTCACCCTTCTCAAAAACCCCCCCAAAAATCTAGCACACCCCATTAGTCTTCTTCTTATCGGCCACGAACTTGATCCAAGTCGCCATGACCTCCCTCTGCACCTCTATCCCCGACTTCTTCACGACCACCGGTGGAACCCTCGACGGCATGGAGTCGAGCTCGTTCATCACCTTCTCAATGTCCATGACGAGCCTCTCCGCAAGGGTCCGTGAGAAATCTTCTCGTATTACGACCCTTAATACCGTTACGTGTTGTGCATCCGGAGGCATGGTGTAAGCCGGCACAATCCACCCGAACCTCCGAAGCATGTCTGATATCTCAAACTCGTTGTGGCGCGAGTTATCCTTTAGGCTAAAGGCCACAAGTGGGACCCCATGGTCTTTGGACACTATGTCGAACCTTCCGGTCTTCTCAAGCCCCGCCTTTAGGACCATCGCGTTTTCTTGACAGTTCTCCATGATGTTCCGGTAGCCCTACAATCGTGATTGGACTTTAGAGAAATGAATAAGTGACGAGTGATGGATATAATCTATGTGAGTTTCTTTTTACCTCGTGGCCTAATCGAATGAGTTGATAGTATTGCGCGATGACTTGGCTAGAGCCTTTGGAGAAATTGAGGGTGAAAGTGGGTTGATCGGCTCCGAGATAGTTGATGTGGAAAACGAGCTCTTCGGGCAAATCCTCCTTGCTCCGCCAGATGACCCACCCGATACCCGCGTACACGAGACCGTACTTATGTCCACTCACGTTGATACTCTTCACCAACGGCAACCTAAAGTCCCACTCCAACTCCGGGTACAAAAATGGCGCGATGAACCCACCGCTAGCTGCGTCCACGTGAATCGGCGTGTCCCACCTGCATACAGATGTCACATATGTGTGAGGCAGTCTAACAGTTACGTGAATATATACTTGTATTCTTCAAATTTATGTGCATATATACCCTGTTTCGTTGTTCTTCTCGACGAGTAGGTCGTTGAGACGCTTAACGTCCTCAAACTCGCCGTTGAGTGTGGACCCGAGAATGGCGGCCACACATATGGTGTTCTCGTCCACCATCTCAACTGCCTTCTCTGGGTCCATCACATAGTACCCATCTCTGAGCTTCACCTCCTTGAGTTCGACTTCAAAGTATCGGGCAAACTTCTCCCAGCAGACCTGAACATTGGCTCCAGTTACGATATTGGGCTTGTCGTAGGGCTTCCCTAAGGCCTTCATCTTGTTTTGCCACTTCCTCTTGAAGGCGAGGCCCGCGAGCATTATGGCCTCCGACGAGCCCACTGTGCCAACGCCTACTGCGGCCTCATCTTCGCCGAGGGGATCGTTGAAGAGGTGAGCGATCATGTTGACGCAACGGTTCTGCTTTCGTAATCGTTGATCATTGGTGTTAGTATAATCATGTTTTGTAAAAATGATTAACTAATTGATTTGAGATTAGGAGTGAAATAATGGATCAAATATTGTGTAGATTGAAAATCGAATTTTTTAAGTCCATTTGGCAATCTACTACAAAAATGTTTTGAGTAAAACACTACCAAAAAAATAATGTCCGGGTTGTTGAAATATACAGTTAAATAAACAAATATGCGGTAAGCAATAGTCTTGGATTTAATTCGAACTATCAACATACAATTATGACGAATAGCATAGCTATTAAAATAAAACAGTCAAACAAATGGCTCCACCTCCTACTTATTTATTGACAAAGACAGAGACTTGAATTAAATAAAAAAATAAAAATAAAAATAAAAAAGACAGAGACTTGGGAAGTTAGGCAACACAATAAATTAACACGTAACTATCCAATTAAGTTTATTTAGTCTGCATATCATTTACCACAAATTGAGGGAAAAAATAAATCTAGATCCAAAATTTAAGGAAAAAATAAATAAAGATAATCTGAACATATAATTAATACAGTTGTAAAATCACCTTCTATTTTTTGTTAGAGCATCAAATTGATTATTATTGGAAGTTATTTTCACAGTACTATGTTTTTTATATTATTTAATTATTGCATCGTGTTTACACATCAATGAATGAAGATGATAGCATCACTTATTCTTGCAGAAAATTTTGTGTAAATAAAAATCATGATGACGACTTCCACATTTACGTGTGCTCTATTATATGGAATTTCTAATACTTATGCATCTATATATAATTTTCCTTAAAGGAAAGTACCAATGGATGTAGAATAAAAAAATAAAAATAAAATCTTATAAATGAAAAACAGTATACGGTTAACCTTTATGGTAAATATCCTATTAACGTGGAATTTAATTACATTCTTTTGTTTTGCTTGGTCCCAAAGAAAATCAAAAGCGGCAGTGAAATTTTCCATGTTTTAATTTATCCTTTCACGTATAATAAAAAATTGTACATCCTGTTAAATATTTTACTTTTTTCAAATATTTTAATATTTCATGTTAATATTCGAACTTTTATATCGCTCTGGAATCTATATATATAATAAAAAATAATAATTTACTAAACAATATTGTAGTGAAAAATTTTGGTAACATTTAAAGCATACATTTTTTTAGAAACTTTTAAAATATATGCATTAATTGCTTTCATATACACGTTTTCAAATAAAATCAAATCAAATATGATAAAAATATTATTTCCTTAAATAATCTATATATATATATAATAAGAATTACTATTTATCAAAAATAGTAAGCAAAACAATCTGGCAACATTAATTGCATACTATTTCGGGCAAGTTTTTAATAATTCTTAACAACCAAATCAGGCATCATTAAATGCACCCTACAATGGTGGGTTCTGTTTAATTAATTTTAGAAAATATCAGCTAATGTTGATTCAGTTTTTTAAATAAAAAATCCTTTCTCATTTTTAAATGGGATTGCATTCAAAAAATCCTTAAATTAAGGAGTTTGTTCAATGTTGATTTAGTTCTTAAATTAAAAATCCTTTCTCATTTTTTGATTCGGACTGCATTCAAAAAATCTTTAAATTAAGGAGTTTGTTCAATGTTGATTTAGTTTTTAAATTAAACTAGTGTGTATCCCGTACGCTGCACGGAGGGGTTTTTACTTAAAACCTTTTCTAAGACTTTATATTAAACATAGTTATTTATGTTTAACATCTTATTATTATAAAAAAAGAAATACCAAATATGAAAATTATATATTATTTATTTGAATATAATGAGTGTCTCCAACCAAACTAATAACATCCAACATATGATATATGATAAAATTAATTATATGATCGTCATACTTTTTGAAAAAATATACATATATTTCTAATAAACATGTAAGATCCGCATTTAAATTTGTATTTGGATATGAGATGAAAAATGAATATGTACAAATAAAAAGTACCAAGAACCTACATAAAATGAGATTCTTTATAAACTTTAAAATATTTTGTAGTTAAGCAAATATTAACAAACAAAATCATCAATTAAGTTGAACTTATCGAATATAAAATATAATTTATGATATCATTGACCATATTTACCCGTTGTATTTAAAGTTATCATTGATCATATTTTTATGAATTAAGGTTTACAAAATATCTTTTTCAAAATAACAATTTTTTTTAATTTGAATTTGACTTTTTCATCCAACCGCCATTTTCCACAAAAATAAAAATAGTATTTTGGAAAATTTTAGACGTGAAAATCAAATAAAATTAATTTAATAGTAAAAGATTAGTTTAATATTATTCAAAATTGTTTAATTTGGTCAACCCGATCTTAGTGCACGTTTAATTGAAACAATCGCTTACAAAAAAAGGAAGTGAAATATATCTATATAATATAAATCGAATTTGAAAAAATAAAGGAAATGAAATTTCATAATTAATTAATTTAAATTGATGTTATCCGATTTATATCAACTCCCTTCCAAAAAAAAAAGAAAATATCCGATTCCTACCAAATCGATTCAAATAAAAAAAGGATTATGATATACGTCCAAATAAATTACAATTGAAATGTAGGCGGGATTATGAAAAATAAAATAAAATAACTTTACCGAATAAAGTAATAAAACGAAAAAAAAAGCGGGAATATGAAGCGGGAAAATAAGATAATTTTTTTTGAGTTTTTTGAACAATTTTTCTTAGTCGTAATAATAGTAATAGATTTCCAAAATGTTACCACACATTTTTTTCTATTTTTCTTGTTTTTATTAAATTTTATTTACATAAGATATACATTGGTTAATTTTAAATTGAATCTAAAAGTCAACTCCTCACACTTTTCGAAAAATGTTACCACACAAATTTTTTTTTCTTATTATGTTTTATTTACATAAGATATACATTAGTGGTTAATTTCAAATTAAATCTAAAATTCAACTCCTCACATTCTTGAATTTGAATTTTTAAATAAGGAAATGTGTTTCCATATTTTTTGGTAGTTAGAATATGTTGGATTCATTTATCTATAACTAATCATACACGTATTCAAAATTTGAACCCAAACAAAATTCTTTGAATTTTTTGCTAACAAAATCACCTTCCCATAATTTATTTATTTCGAAAAATGTTACCACACAATCTTTTTAATTTTGTTTTTCTATTAAATTTTATTTACATAAAATATACATTTGTTAATATTAAATTGAATTTAAAATTCAACTCATCACAAATTTATATATATATATATATATATAGAGAGAGAGAGAGAGAGGGGATTCTCTCTTTTTTTTACATATTTAAAAAAAATCTAATCAAATTTTGAATCCCGAATTAAAATCGAATTGTAATGTGAACTGAAAAGATTTGAAATCTAATTATGTTGTAGATAAGGGAAATCCATGGCAAAAAAAGGGGATGAAAAAAATTCAAATTAAATTTAAGGGGGAAAAACAGTTTTTTAAGCGGGAATTTGAAATATTTTTTCAAACATTTTTTCTTCTCCGTATTATATAGTAATAGATATCCTTTCTCATTTTAATCGGACTGCATTAAAAAACTCCTTAAATTTAGGAGTTTGTTCAAAGAAAGCTTCTAGATAACTCAAAAGCCATTGAGAAAATTTCGAATGAATTGAATTCTCTAAATTGAACGATTGTTTTGAATTTAAGGAATATCTATTTTGAATCGGTACACAGAAATGATAATGATAAAAAATCATTATACTCAAATCTTTTTTTATGGTAGCAAAATTTTCACAATTTTGTATATTAACATCTCAATATTTATTTTATATATACTATATAAATTTTTCACTTTGCATAATTATGCGTATCATCTCAATATTTATTTTATATCTATCATATAAATATATCTAATCTCATAAAATTAGCGTAAACTAATTTATAATATTTAATACTTTTAAACATCTCTCATATAATTAGTGTAACGTAATGTCTAATATATAATATCCTTTTGAACATCTCTCATAAAATTAGGGTGAAATATTGTCTAATTACTAATATTTTATATGCTTTAAAATGACAAATTGTTTATGCATTTCTATATGTTAAGGACTATAAGGATGTTAAATTTTTGCTTACAAATTACTCACAACTTGAATTTATAATCATATTTTAATTACTTAATATTATGCATTAGTTTTATGAATATCTCTTAAATGATAAATTATATTAATTTAAAAATAATTTATTTTTTTATATATAACGAAATAAAAGCTTAAGAAAAAATTATGTTGACAAAGATTAATTTTTCGCTTGATTAATTGGAAGAAAAAATTCTACCTAATCTATTACGAAAAAATTTTGTAAAATATTTATACACTATTTAATTTTAAATTTATTTACATATTTTAAATTGATTTAAATATTTTTTTCATAAAAGGAGACTTACAACTTCTATAACTTTTATAAATAACAATGACATTATATGACAATAAAGATATATAAAAAAATAATAATTAAGTATTATATGTTAAACAAATAAGTAAAATTATTATTTTCTTTTATATTAAGGATTAAATATATATATACTAAAATCAAATTTATGTTAATATAAATGTGTTAGTGAGATAATATATTAATTATTTTACAAGTTAGTCTTAACATGCTCATATTTAATATTCTGGCTAAAAAACAACGCTGATTAAAAAGAGGTGTAAAATAGGTTATAACCCTACTTTTTTAAGACTTAACGCTGATTAAAAGAGGTGAAAATAGATGATGACGCTATTGTTTTTTAGACTTAAACACAAGTGCATGTGAAAATAAATTATTTAATATCAGCCACGGGTATCCACCAGTTATAATAACAAAACAGCACCAAGAGCATAAAGTAAATGCCTAACTATTTAAATGTAATGCTATAAGATTAGGTTGAATTAGAATATCTATGGGATCTGAAAACGTGGTTAACTGTTCTTCATTTTGAAAGTCGCATTATTAACAAATAAAAAAAAAAAGGGAAAAACAAAGAAAAAATTAAATTATCACAGCTTAAATTATGAAACTATGAAATCTTGACCTTAATTATACAATATTTAATATAAACGCGCACAAATCACTACTTTTAACATAATTACTCAACGCACAATCTCCTCCAAAACCTAATAAACAAATAATCCCAACAAATAAACTAAACAAAAAAAAAAAAAAATCAATTGATAAAAGATAATTAATTTAACTTGCCTGCAACTCAGTGGTAACAGGGTACTCATCCATGTCCACATAGTTCTTGTTAATGGAGTCCATGATGAGCTTGTCACATTCTGGCTCCATCCACGTAGTCACAAATGAAGCCAAGTTCAGCCTCGGATTCCCGTCGAGCATAAGCTCGTCGTTTATAATCTGGTAAGCCGCTTCCTTTGGTATTGAATTATCAGGGATCTTAAACCTATATACAAACATACATTGATAAAATTAATTAGCAATCGATACTTTTATACTCAAATGTCCGGCAAAATTTAAACTCCCTATACGAAAATTTGAGAAATTAATAAATTTCATTACCTGGGAAGGGAATCGCGAACGTAACGCGAGGCGAAAGTCGAGTGGACCGAGACATCCGACTGTGATGCGATTTTGGACAAGACCATTGTTAATGAAAAGAGTTAATTAGAAGTGATTAAGGTTTTTTCTTTTCCTCTTTTTTGTTTTGTGAATGATGTTTGGACAAGCTATTTGGTAGAGTATATATATAGGGGTTTACATTTGACTTTTAGTATTAAATTTTGGATGACTGAAATATTAGAGATGTTAAAAAAGGGAACATGGGTAGGTATTTGCCTGTGATTGGTTCATCTGGGGAGTGTGGACCCACCAAGAAAGCCTTTGGTACAAGTCAAACTGTGCGTTCATAAAGCTATAATGCGCGTGGAATTATTCTTGTATTTGGAAATTAGATTTTCAAGATTGAAAAAATAATGGTGAAAATGTTACGTGAGATTTTCTTAGTTACTGTATTAATTTTTGCATGTGAAAAAGAATTGGTCAAACTAATCGGTCCATTCATATTTTAGACATGGGAATTCCTTGTGAAAAAAGATACGTTTTTCAAAGTAATATTCTTGTTCATAATAAAGATATAAAATTTGGTAATTTGGTCTGTAAAGTTTCAATCTGGGTAAGCCAATGCAAAATATATTTTCCGCGTAATGTCCTGATGGTAACATTGCAGCTATATTGACCGAACTTGTGCGAAGGAAAATAAAATAAAATAGTTTTGTCTTGCCCAATAAGTTTTTTAGGCGAAAATCAGATTATATGTAAAATTTTTAACTCAAAATTCAACTCTAATATAATTCAACTTAGATTTATTTAATATTATTAATATAATTAAATAATATCTATTAATATTTATTAGACAATCTTTAACAAAATTCACTAACATATTTTTATCTATCAATTATTACAATCATTATTTTATTAATATAACATCGATTTTAATTATTATATCTTTTCATATTCACTCACAATTCCGTCATCATAATTATAACTGGAAAACGGACAGTGAACACCGGTTGAGCCCCCGTGTGTCAAACATGTTGACTGTTGTTTGACAAATACTTGGGTAAAATTGTTGACCTTTGATATATTATTTGACGAAGCTGTTAACAATCATGAATTGAACGCATATATTGAGCCAGGTAAATGGCAATGACGATTGACGCCGTCCACAAAGACTGCTAACACCTTAAAGGCTTAAATATCGCCTTTAATTAGCTCGAAATTGTTCTGGTGACTCACCCTTCTCCGTCACCACATGAGTCAGCAGGAAGTTGGTCGGCGAGTGTTTTAAAATATTCAAGTATGAAATTATTAATTAAGTATTCATTATGAATTAACAAAATATACATTATGTATTAATTAAATATGTAATTTTGAAGTGCTGGCGAGCAGCAACATCCGGCGGGCAATTCACTTATGAGCAAAGAAATACTTAGTCTCCATTGATTAATTTGGATCAATGTTTTACACAAATCGATAAATGTGACTAGTTACTACATTCTCATTATAAGAACGTGTTTTATTGGATCCACCCTGTATATAGGTTATAATTTAAAACCCTATAATAAGAGGTGACATTTTATGCCCAAACAAATAATTATTTTACAAATTTAAAATATATATATATATATATATATATATATATATGATATTTTTAAGTTTGGTCTTCAATTAGCTTCTCTCCCAACAAATTACTGAAATAAAATATTTTTTGTCATATTATCTTTAATTCAATATAAATCTCAACTAACTCCTGGCAATTTGTCAAATAAAATCTATGTGCCTAATTCATCTCTAGCAGATTATATTTTGAATTCTACAAATTAGTCCAATAAAATCTATGTGCCTAACTAATCTCTACCATGAGAGAAGTGATGATGTCGTAAACTCTCTATTATTTATTCACATGAGCCTTATACACAAATACATTATTGTTAGAATATCACTTGTGAGTTGTCCCACATCGTTCATATATGGAAAATAGACCCACCTTATAAGACTAATGGGCTACTCCTCCTTCCACCAATTGGTTTTGGGATGGAACCCCATTTGGGCTTCATATGGGTTTTTCCCTTCTTTCATGGTGTCCTTCATGGTAGTGGGCCAGCACCAATTTTCCCCCAGTTTCTGTCATGGTATCAGAGCCGGTTCTATCTTGGACTGTGTGATGACGTACCCATTGTTTTTTCCCCAGTTTTTGTCATGGTATCATTTTTCCCCCAGTTTCTGTCATGGTATCAGAGCCGGTTCTATCTTGGACTGTGTGATGACGTACCCATTGTTTATCCCCCACGTACCCGTTTATGGGAGCCTGTTTGTAGTAGGGCTTGGGGCACCCAGCCCAGTTGGGTTTGGGCTTTCGAAAGACTCAAGTCATGGTATCATTTTTCCCCCAGTTTCTGTCATGGTATCAGAGCCGGTTCTATCTTGGACTGAGCCGGTTCTATCTTGGACTGTGTGATGACGTACCCATTGTTTTTCCCCCAGTTTCTGTCATGGTATCAGAGCCGGTTCTACCTTGGACTGTGTGATGACGTACCCATTGTTTATCCCTCACGTACCCGTTTATGGGAGCCTGTTTATAGTAGGGCTTGGGGCACCCAGCCCAGTTGGGTTTGGGCTTTCGAATGACTCACAAGTGAGGGTCGTGTTAGAATATCACTTGTAACGGGAGTCTGTTTGTAGTAGGGCTTGGGGCACCCAGCCCAGTTGGGTTTGGGCTTTCGAATATGGAAAATAGACCCACCGCTACTCCTCCTTCCACCAATTGGTTTTGGGATGGAACCCCATTTGGGCTTCATATGGGTTTTTCTCTTCTTTCATGGTGTCCTTCGTGGTAGTGGGCCAGCACCAATTTTTCCCCAGTTTCTGTCAATTATTAATGATATACTATTGACCCATACCTACAAAGCTTTTATATATCTAGGTAATCTCTACAAATAAATATTCACAACATTAACAGCAAAGTTACGAGGGTTTTAAATCATTTTTAGATAAATACTAACATTTAAAAGTATTTTCATCATTAATTTTGTTGAAACTTTATTTCACAATTTGAAATTTCTCATATATATGGAATCCATCCATAAAAAATGCTCTCTCTCTATTTGTCTCATAAATGAAATGAATAACACCAGATAAGCTACAAGCGTGAAACAAGTTGAAATCGGAGAGAAAGAGAGTGTGAGAAAGAGAGAAGAGAAATTAATGACATCAGATAAACTATAATTGTGAAACGAGTTGAAATCGGAGAAGAGAGTGGGAGAGAGAAGCTCGAAAAGACAAATTATAAATCAATTGATTATTCCATAACCTATACTTCAAACTAAAAAATAACTAGTAAGTGCTTGTTAAAAATATATTCTTAAATTTTAAAATTAATACGATAAAGTATTTTAAAATTTAAATATTTTTTATAAAAAATAAATATTATTATATATTCTAAATGACACTTGTTTTTTGCACGACTTACATGTGTTATATTATAGTAGTTTTTCTAACTTATACCATATAGCTACTTTAAACATAAATATATTAATTGATAAATAATTTTATTTTTTTAATTAATATTAATAAAAAATTTATTATTATTATAAAAATAAATATAATTTATTTATTGTCATATAGACAATATGGATGTCAAATCAAACCTTATGGAAAGATATTGATACATTATATATGTAAAACCGATAAGAAATACAAAAGTTAAAATATATTTACAATTCAATTGTTATAATAGAAAATGATATTAAATGCAACTAATACATCTACAATGGTCATAAATAATCAATATATTTATGGATAATTTGGACCTAATTATTTTCTAATTGAAAGTAAATTAAAATCTATCCAAGCCAAATAATGAAGCATGGAATTTCGCCACACAGGACCTCGAATCATGCGACCCTGCCAGTTAGGCTCAACACAGTCGGGAATTATATATAAGGAGGATTCTTAGTTTAGATGCGTATCATTCAGTCGACGAAGTCGAAGAAAGGAAACAGCTGCACTCAGGGGTGCAGATCTACAATTCTCTCCCATCTTTTGGGAGCAGCTAACAAATAGGTGCGTGTATTCTCCCGTATGGGAGATTTTATTCTCCATTATTAGAGCTTGGTAGTTTTCATTTTTAGTTGGCGAGTGAGTTGTTTAGTTTCTGTCTAGAGTAGTTTCTAAGCGACTTTTTGATCTGTCCTCTCAATAGATTCAGCTCTTTAATTGACTTATTCAATTGTTAGATAGTAATCCAGTTGTATTTATGTATTATTTTTTTTTTTCTATTTAAGTTNAAAAAAAAAAATTAAAAAAAAAAAATGAGAGAGCACTTTTAAAACTTGGCAGGAGGGTAGGATAAATTAGAGAGTCATTTTAAATTCAAACCAACCAAAACTCATCGGCGGTATTTAATGGTCAGAATACATTTGTACAAACCCATGTGATTTACCGGTTATGTTCAGTTTTATCTGAATTTATGTATTTCTAATTGCGTCCTAAAGTCTTTATAATGTTTAATTAATACATCCTCCTTAGATTTAGGAGTATTGAAGATGAATACAAACCCATGTGACTAAAGAAAAGGCAAAAATATCAATAAGGGTTGGCTCAAGTGGTAAATAGCTTGATGTCGCTTAAACAAGGTCTCGAGTTCGAGTCCTTGTGGACACAGAAAACCCTTGTTGGGAGACTCACCCACTACTGCCAGGTGTGCAATCTGGGTCGACCAACGGATTAGTCGGGCCATAACTCCGGATACCGTGGCTGGC